ATATATATATATATATATATGTGTATGTATGTATGTATGTATGTATATAATACAATGAAAAATTTAAAATATTATATACAATAGAATAGAATATATTTACCTGAAAAATAATATAACTTATTAGAATTCCAAAGTATAAGATTGTCTGAATTCGAACGAGATTTGATTGATAATAAGGCCATAAACCAAGAGCGAGTAAGAGAATCCGATTGAGGTGAAAATATTTAGACTCGATAGAGATCATCACTCTATGACGATAGAACCTTGACTGCGAAAGTCAGTATCCCCTCCTTCGACCTTATAACTTCCATTTTCCCATAAATTGTATTGTTATTATCTAATTTAATTTAAAGTTGAAAAATAGTTCTGTCAGGAAAATGTTGGAAATTCAATAACTTTTTTCTAAGAAGAGTTTTTAGCAATTAAGCGATCAATAATATAGGAATTGCACGGATGTTTATTTCTCATAGAAGTGCAACTGTGCATTTATTTTCTAACAGAGAGTCGCGCAAGCTGTTCACGTGAAGTAAAATCTGTACTTCATACCATCTTTTGCATCAAGTGGAAAATAAAGTTAATTTTACATCGTCAATAATTTTAATCCTTTTATAAGTTATTTACACAACATTTTATTCAAATATAAATTCCTTTGGATAACTACATACATTTGTCAATATTCCTGAAAATCATTTTTCGACAGGTCTTTCAGTATTTTCGTCGTATTTTCAATGACTTCACATTTGCGCGCAGGTAAATCCTTCAAAACTTCTTTTAGCGGAAATAGGAAAAAAGCGAACTAAAGCGAACTAAAAGCGAAAAACTAAAGCGAAGTCGCGAAAATATATATGACGGATGCTTTAAATTACGCCAAGCAAGATACTGACATTTAATGATCGATGTACAGATGCTTAGATGCTTTCGTGCAAAAGAAACCAGCTGTTTCGTGTATCCATTTTTCCGAACATTTCTTTCTGACACGATTGAAGATTTCGGTTTACATGAAAGAACAACAGTTTTTGTTGTACTGAGGAAGTTAATTGCAAATACGATAAGGACAATGAAAAGTTTCAAAAAATAATTTCTACGTTGAAGGAAAATTGAAACGCAGAAGATTTAAATTTTAGTATATATTTATTAAATTATATAGGTTAGTCGGCACGAACTTTCCGGACAACCCAATACTTTTAAAAAGATGTTATGTAATAAAGGCAAAATTAGTTATTTCTGTTATAAAATTAATTATTATTCTGTTACAAATTAATTCTGAAAACTTTTGCGTGATCTTTTATTATAATAATATATATAAATAATTATTTTATTTATACAATTTTAATTTTAATACTAAACGAAATGTATTTAATTGTAAATAAAATGGATAATAATAATATAAAAAGAAAATGTTAAGTAAATTTGGATTTTAGAGTCATAAATATTCTAAGTAAAAAATAATTGTATTTATCGTATTATACTAAAATTAGTGTAATAATTAATGTACAAAATTAAAAAAAAATTAAATTTTTTAATATTTTTATTATAATATATGTATATATGTTATGTCTTCGATTAACTAATAAATTGCCGTATAATAAAAAGATTGCAATAATATGAGAAATCTATTGTCCTTTCTGATACATCTCGTTGTATTATTTAAATCGGATATATACAAATTGAAACTTAATATTTTGTTTATTATGTGAAAATCATTGAATTATTTAATCATACAGTTAAAATAATAAGATACTTGAAATACAATGAAATAATTTTTATATAGATAAATTTTAAATTAAATTACTTAATTTAATTAGTGAACTTAATTCCTACTGTTTTTTTGTCAAAATTGATTTATTCCGAAGATGAATGAAATCAAAGTACTTTCTTTCATATTTTACTACTTTTTCTCATTTCTCTGACAACAGGGCCATCCTGTGACGGTAGAATATGGTGTCTTTCGAGCCAATCTATTCATCCAATCATTTTTGGACTTCTTCGTAACTGGAGAAGTATGTGTCCGTAAGTGCGTGTTGCACTATCAATCGGAAGAGATGGTAATCCGACAGTGCCAAATCTGGAAAGTATGCGAGAGGAGATTTCCCATTTAAGCTGTAAAAGTGCTGTTTCACGCTTTTCGCAACATGTGAAAATCGAATGTTATCATGCAACAAAATGACTTTCGTCAATTGTTAGTGGATGATCTGTTTTGCATCAACTCGTCATTCAATCGGCATAATTGCTGTTTGTACCGATCAGCTGTAAAGATCATTCCACATAAATTTGCATAGCCACATGAATAAAGAAAATTATTCAATCACATTTCTATCATAAAGACAAACGTAAAATGCGATTGAATGATTTTCTTTATGCATATGTTTGTGCGATTATGCAAGTTTGTGTGGAATGGCTCTAACGATTTCATTTGGACGCAAGAGCTCGTAATACAGCACATCCTCCTGGTCTTATCAAATGCAGAGCAAGGTTTTATGCCCGTGAATATTCCTCTTCTGCGTTGTAGCGGATGGTTGGCCGGGATCTGCCTATGATTTCCACTTGAATTAAAATAAATTCATTTTTCATCGTCGGTTACGATGCGACACAGAAAACTGTTTTTTCTTTGCCTAGCAAGCAAAGAAATCGCGATAGACAAACAATTCAAAATGGCATTTTCTGACAACTCATGTGGTAGCCATCTTCCTTCCTTATGAATCTTTCCCATGGCACGCAAGCGTTTTGAGAGTAATATTTATTTTTTTAGAGTAATATTTATCGATTTTGACAACTCTAAAAGCGTTTGAGCTGGATTCTTATCGAGCAATTCTTGCAGATCGACATTTTCAAATCTTTTCGACTGTCCTGGATGTTTTTTGTCTCTCACGTCAAAATCAACGTTCAAACCAAATTCTATATGTTTTTTCTGATGGAGTTTTATCACCTTACACTTCGGATAATAAGCGATGCGCTTTAATTGCAGTTTTCTTAAGGTCGAAGTAGTGAAGGAGCACGTGTCGGAAAAACAACTTATCGCAATTCATTTTCAATTGGTTGATCTTGAAAATCTCTTTGACATCGAGAAATCTAACCTATGAAGATTGAATCACTTTCAGCGATGTCTAAACGCATATGATTTTATAATCGAAACTCCCCAGCGTTGGCGTCAGCATTCTCTAGCAGCGAGCGGCAGGAATTAATTTTACCACCTCATTTAAATGCAATACAAAACGAAATATCATTGTCAGATACAAAAAAACACATGATTGTAATTCACACTTTTATTCTGGAAGAGAAGTATGATTAAGCGGTCGATTTGATTATAGTAATAATGCAACAGGTTTATTTTCCATAAAGAAATGCATACTTCGTTCGTGTGAAGGAATTATGTGATAATAGAACTACGCAGACGAGATTCGATCTCTTCTAACATAATATATTACATTCTTGTGAATTATTGGTAACGTATAATGTCAACTTATATCCTATATTTTTAAAATAAATTATAACATATCAATTTTTATATTTATAGTTAAGTAATAATTTTTACCTCTTGTCGAAACGATACTTACAGGAAGCGATATCTAAAATCAAGGACTAAACGATTTTGATCAAATTAATTTACATTTCTCTTCCTTTTCTTCTCCTCCTTCCTTATTTTCTCATATTTCTTTCACTTTTATACATATCTATCTTAATTATTTTGCAATTATTATTTCGTACTTGTAGAATAGAGAACAGTGAAG